CGTGAATGCAGGAAGAAATGCGCCAGATGTGGACGTTCAAAAGCCCATGTTCCTGCGATTTTCATTCCATATTGTCACAGTGTGAGGTTTTCCTGGTATTTGATTTGCTAAACGACGATATTTCGTAATTGTGACAATAAGCCTCCCGCTTCAGCCGTTGGGCTGGCAGGCTACAGTGACAAGGAAGACCATCTGCTGCCTAGGTTCACTACCTGCTTGATGTATTTGCTCCATAGCCATGGCTGATGGTGGCTGGCTTTCCTTCTGACTCACTGCGCTCTTGCTTTGTCACGGATTGCGGACGAGATGAACGCCGTTTTCCTACCACAAGGCCGCACACCCTAACTTGTGCTGTGCTGGTCGACCGAAAGCCCACCATAGCCGTTTTTCCGGCCTCTATCCCTACTCAACGGCCTGGTTTACTGATTAGCCTAAAAGCTAAATAGGGTGCGCCCACTATTGTGTTGACTGATCAACTCGTTTTTCCTTCGGTTGGTTGTGTTTTCATTTCGAACCTCATATCCTACCGCTGTCTGATGAACATGCGGTAACCCTAGTTTTCAGTAGCTGGGAGCTACCTTTTTCCCTCCCAGCATTTCGAGCATCGCCATCTCTAATATCCGTCCCTACCGCACCCTCCCTTAGCTTTTTGTTTATAGGCGCGTGTGGACCGACTGAAACCCTAGAAGGATAGCGATGGCGTGGGAAGCAACCACGTCTCTCACGTCGAAGCTGTCCAATCAGGCTTCATTAGCCTCGGCGGTTAATCTTGACTCACGGCGCAAGCCGTCGACCGCTTCTCCCTCGCCGTCCTTACCTGATCAATGGAGCCAATCCGGTTCCGCGAGAATATCCGGCTCCTGTAGTCTGACGTCAACCGTCACGTCTAATCGCAAATGGCGAATGTCGGCCGATCAGCAGTCGTTCTTAACGGGATCGTCTGACAGCTTCTTTTCGTCGCACGCGTGCCTGGCTCAGACCGTTCAGACCGTTGCTCCTAACTCTAACAGTAGCTGTAGCACATTACCTTATTGCATTAATTCCTTAGACTCCCTCTCCGCTCTTGGCGGCAACAGCAGTAGCAATTCCCCTTCGCCTAACATTAGGAGTAATTTGTCCCCACTATGTATTCCAACCTTAGGCTCGGTAGCCGGTTCGGAGTTACGTTCGGCAACAGGCTCGGCAACGAGCCCGTTGATGGTGGAATGCTTTGAGGTGGAGCGCTGCGAGGGTTTGGAGGGACACGTGTCGATCAGCGGTGCGAAAAACTCCGCTCTTGCCGTTCTCGCTGGGGCTATCTGCTCCTCCGAGCCTCTCGTTTTGCGTCGGGTGCCGGACCTTCATGACATCAGGCGCATGTTCCAGGTTCGGCCCGACGACATGCGTCCCTCCCTGCTTCCCTTTCCTTCCTTGGAGCATCTAGCCTCGTCATGTCAGGAGAAAATAATAACTTCGTTGTGTCAAGAGTTGCATTTCAATGGCATTGGCGTCATGTCATTATTCTCATGGCATCACTGCCGTGCCATTACTCCTATGTCATTACTGGCATGCCATTACTCCCATGTCGTACTGCCATGTCAGTACGCCCATACCGTTACTGCCGTGTCATCACACTGTCATGTTACCCCTGCCGATACTAAACATCATGTTTCCCTACTTAATCCTCGTCTTATACCCTTTTTTGTGTTCACTCCCCTCGTCCGCGTGCGTTTTAATCTGCTGCATCGGTCATCAGGTTCTTCAATCCGTCGGCGTGAAAATACAGCGAGGAGTGGACGGCCAGGATTCATCCGTGCTCGTCGACGCGTCCTGTCTGTCGTCCGTGGAGCCCTGCCCCGACGTGGTGCGGAAGCTTCGCGCCAGCTTCTTCGTGATCGGCGCGCTTGTGGGGAGGCAGGGGGAGGCGGTGGTGCCGCTCCCCGGCGGCTGCAACATCGGCGCGCGCCCCATCGACCTCCACGTGCGCGGCCTTGAAGCGCTGGGCGCTAAGGTCGATATCAGGTGCGCGCATTGAGTCACATTGATATTACTGGTAATTTCCGGGTGACGTTAGCCGTTCCGGTGCTGTTCGTTAGGCGTAATTCGACACGATTGTTGAGCGTGTTTATATATCGTGTTCATTGTCCGCGGCCAAAACCTGAGCCAGTCTTTCCGACTGTCACTGTTATGGGCAACGTAGCCGTCCAGAAACCTTTTTATGAGACATTCCAAAAGTTTTTTTAGCAATGTCGCACTTCCATGATCTCGAAGCACGTCGGCTTTCTCTCCCTCGTCAACCCCGTCCTCCCCGCCCTACTCAATATCTTCTCACTGCATCCCCTCACCTCATCTCCCTCACTCTTTTCCTCTTTGCCATGTGGTCCCGGCAATCCTCATCACCTCCCCCTATCCTCCCCTCTGTACCCATTCTCTACCCCCTCTCTCCGTCTCTCCCCCCTTCCTTCGCCCCATTCCCGCCGCATGCGCGCAGGCAGGGGCGCGTGCACGTGCAGACGGCGGACGGCGGGCGGCTCAAGGGCGGGAGCTTTTACCTGGACTTCCCCTCGGTGGGCGCCACCGAGACGCTCATGATGGCCGCGTCGCTCGCGGACGGCGAAACTACCCTCTCTAACGTCGCCCAGGTGAGGGCAAAAAGCGGGGAGGGGATAGGCGAGGCGGTACGACGCTAGCTGGTGTGGCCCAGGTAAGCGCAGGGAGAAGGTAGGCGGACGGACAGAGGGACGCGCTGCGACGGTATGCGTCACGGGGACGCTCATGATTGCCGCGTCCCTCGAGGTAGACGTGACGAAACCACGCTCTCCAACGTCGCCCTGGTCAGTGCAGGGGAAAAAGATGCGCGGAATGACAGAGAGGATCGCTCAGTGGCGCTAAGCACCACATACCGTGTCCGGATCTTCTCAGCGCCTTATTCGCACATCCCCTTCTCTTTCTCTTCACTTGCGCTGCGTGCCCCTTCAGGAGCCCGAGGTGGTGGACCTGGCGGATTTCCTCATCTCCTGTGGCGCGCAAATCAGGGGAGCGGGCACTAACACGATTGTGATCAAGGGCGTGCCCAGGCTGGGCCCCACCGAGTTCACCATCATCCCCGACCGCATCGAGGCGGGAACCTTCCTGGCAGCTGCGGCCATCACGCGGTCGGTGGTGTCGCTGTCGCCGGTGATCCCACGGCATCTGACCGCCGTGATCAGCAAGCTCAGAGCCATGGGGTGCCGCGTGCAGCAGACCAAGATCGGCACTCTGAAGGTATGTTGTATGGTGACTTGTCAGTCGACTCATAAGTCCCACAGAACCTGACAGCCGTGATCAGCAAGCTCAGAGCCATGGGGTGTCGGGTACAGCAGACTAACTCCGGCACTCTCAAGGTACGCTACGCGGGGCGTCCTGTTTAGCATGTACTGGTGTGCAAGGCAGGTTCGAGGAATCTGAAAATCCGTGTCAGGTGCAAGTCGTTGCATTCTCGTGCAAAAGAACTGCCAGTGCAGTTAAGCCAGTCAAGTTGTTCACTCTCTAGTGCCCTTTGTCTTTCTTCCCCTCTCTCTCTCCCACGCCTCTTTCCTACAAGCAGATCTCGCCAGGCATATGGCCGCTGAGAGCTACGGACGTGACGACGCTGCCGTACCCGGGCTTCCCAACGGACATGCAGCCGCAGCTCATGGCCGCTCTCACCACTGCCAGCGGTCAGAGCGTCATCCGGGAGACGGTGTTTGAGTCACGGATGAGACATGGTGAGTGAGGCGATCTGCCTTGTGGTGCGTTGTTGTGTGCTACAGAGCTGCTGTGGGTTTGGAGTGTGCATGTGTTTGTGGATGCCGTGTGCTTGTTTCCTGTCACTCATTTTACTGCTGCTAAAAAGTTTCTTATGCTAAAAAGGTTTCTTATGCCCTGTCTCCATAAGCTAACCGGTAGATTCTTGTGTGTCTGCATGGCATGGTGTTTGTGTGGTATGTGTGTGTTGGGCGGGTTTGCGTGCGTTAATCCATGCCATGAGTGGGTGTCATGGCATGTCTGATGGTGGCTTGCCATGTGTGTGCTGTGCCATGGCATGTCATGATGTCACGCTTTGGGCAAGCAGTTGAAGAACTACAGAAGATGGGAGCCAAGATCAAGATCACAGGCAGCACGGCCATCATCAGCGGCAGGGACCAGGGCAGCCAGCTGTACGGCGCCCCCGTGGCAGCCACTGATTTGCGGGCGGGAGCAGCGCTGGTGCTGGCGGGGATGGCAGCGGAGGGCCGCACGCACATAGAGGGTGTGGCGCATATTGATAGAGGGTATGAGCGCCTGGATAGCAAGCTGCGAGGGCTGGGGGCCAGGATTCAACGCCTGCCTTGCCTCCCTGCCGAACTCACATTGTGAGGGGGCTGGTGGAAGAGGGGCGTGGGCTAGCATTCAGCACCTGCCTTGCTCCCTGCCGAATTCACGCTGTCAAGGGGGTTAGTGGAAGAGGAAAGCAGGTAGGGCATTTAAGGATTTTTTGGGAGGAAGGGTTGAGTATCGACAGGGACCAGTGGGTTGTGGTTCATAGGGTTTGTTAGGTAGCACTTGAGATGCTGTAGGGTTTTTTAAAGAAACTAATGTAGTAGGTAGGAGTTTCATATGCCAGGCAAGAAGTGTAGAAGGTAGCTGCTGTGTAGGATCATGAGAAAAGCTGGGTTGGGTAATAACTGGTACACGCGTGCATGCTTTAGGAGTTCATGGACATGTAGGTTCTATGTTCTGCAGTGCAGTTATTCTCAGTTGATAGATGTCCAAGGTGACATTGAGATTAATTGGTAGTGGTGGTACCTGCTTGCAGAAAGTAATAATGAGGGTGATGCAGTTGAACATCCTATGGAATGGATGCAGTTGCAACAATTAACCTTACCTTATGAGGTTGATGCTCAGGAGAGGAGGGACCTACTCTCGGCTAGGGTAGGTGCCACAGGCTGATGAAGGGAAGAAATTAATGAACTTTCAGCAGACCTACACAGTACCGTAGGTCGTGTGCATAGCCATTGCAGCTACAAATGGGAATCAAATGCTATACCCAACAGAGTAGCTTCGCATGCCCTGAGCCTTATGACGCTTTCTTCCAGCTGAGCCCGCCGCTGCTGGTCAGCCACCTTCAGAGCTGCGAGCTTGGCAGCGCTTCCAGTCTGAATCACCCCCCAAATCGCAGCATCGGTTTCATCTACAAGGGCATCGTCCAGAGACATCCCGATGTCCATTGGGATCACATCGCACAACCTCTTGTGCACCACCTTAGCGTAGGAGAACACATTGATCTGCAGATCCCTTGCTGCCTGATAGTCGTTGCTGATCAAGTCAGCTAATGAAGCAGTGTTGGAGCTGAAACCATCCATGCTGGGGATGTTGCCATATCGGTCTGCTTTGTACACAGCAATCGATTGATGTATCTTTGAAACGGTATCCATGTAGTAGTGATTCAGCGTGAAAATTACCCTCCTTTCCTTCAACAGAAGGTCCTTCGTCATCTGGATTGATGAATCTTTGGCCTTCTTCAAGGCAATGAGTGCTTGCGATTGAGCAGCATTTTCCAGGTTAGGATACCCCGAACAAGTCTTCTTAATCACGGCTTTCTGAACCTCTGCTGCATAGGAAAAGCAGTCCTCCACCAGCATCAACGATGGCCCTTCAATGCTGTCAATCAACTCTTGCACCAGTTGCCTCAGCACAGCTTGATCCAGCATATTCGGCAGTGAAATTCCAGCAACCTCTTTCAGGGCATCTCTGCATCTCTACGTGTATTTCTTCCCAAGAAAGTCGGGAAGAATTTTCCGCATCTGAGCCTCGTATTCGTTGAATTTCTCGTTCAGCCTTGCAGCATAGTGCATGGAGATGTCACCATGAAGCTGGTCATACCTTCCACCAATGAGGCCGGTCATGAAGTCTCACCTCCTTTGAATTGTGGAAGAGATCATCGCCAGTGCAGCACCTATCAACAGGACTAGGCAAGAATGGATGAACTAGCAACAGTTGGGATACAAATATGAACCCTAGAATGTGTTGTACCCCATGTAAGCTACCCCACTACAGCCTACAGTACTACAGCAGGTATATATAATTTGACACACCCCCATAGGCAAGGTGGGGGAGAACAAGGGGTCACACGACCAGTCAAGCAAAGACAAGCTCAGGGTGGATCACAACGTCACCACACACTCTGAGCACAAACAGTAAAGGCCACAGGGCCAGTTCACATGCAGAGAGATATAAACAACAGCGACAATAAAGTGATCACTACCTAGCAAGAGCAAACATGCAGGTATATATATAAATCACAGTACAAGCAAGGTCAAGCAGTAAGCAAGTGAGAGAACGTAGGTACAAGGCCTAGAGCAGTGCAGTGCCGCTGATGATCACTAGACGGAAGTGCCTTGGTGAATATGTCAGCGGTGTTGGCCCGTGTGTCGACGTACGCAAGACGAAGCTGGCCACGCTGCTGCAACTCTCGAGCCAGGAAGTAACGGAGAGCAATGTGCTTCGTTCTGTGCTCCAGTCTGTGCTCCTGACACAAGGCAAGGGCTGCCTTGTTGTCGCCGTACAGAACTGGAGGAGAACTAGGCCGCTCTCCCAGGTCAGTCAGCAGGTAGGTAAGCCAGCGTAACTCCTGTGCAGCCATGGCTGTGGCGTAGATCTCAGCCTCACAACTGGAGCTGAGAACAGAAGACGAGCAAGTAGACTGCCACGAGACAGAGCCAGAACCAAGGCTGAAGGTGTAACCCTGTGACGACCGCTGCGTAGCCAGGTCGTCAACCCAAGAGGCGTCTGAGTGTCCAGTGAGGACAACTCGACCCCGTCCTCCAAGCACCAGCCCCATGCCTGATGTACTGCACAAGTAGCGTAGCACCCTCTTAGCAGCCTCCCAGTGCTCTCGCCTGTGTCTCCCAGGCGCGACGTAGCGAGCTAGGATGCTAAGAGGGTACGCAAGGTCAGGTCGAGTGCAGGTCATCAGGTACATGAGGCAGCCCACAAGCTCTGGGTACGGGCCACTCGGCTCTACGGACTCGTCCGAAGGTGGAGCTGAGAGCGAGTGGCGTGTAGACAGAGGAGTGGACTGTGGTGAGGAGTACTGGAAGTCGAAGCGCTGAAGGATCTGCTGCACCATGTGTGACTGAGTCAAGGTGATGGTGCGGCGTGCTCTGTCCCGGGTGATCTGCAAGCCAAGGTAGCTGCGCAGCTCACCCAGATCAGTGCACGTGTGTCTCTTCTGCAGCTCCGACTTCACGTGGGCGAGTGCCTCAGTGTCAGCAGTAGCAAAAACCAAGTCGTCGACGTACACGAGGATGTAGAACGGCGGCAGCGAGGTGTCGGTGCGGAGAAACAGCGACGGGTCTGCAGTGGAGGGAGCAAACCCAAGTGCCGCAAGTGTCGTCCTCAGTGTGTCGTGCCACTCGCGCGGCGCCTGGCGGAGACCGTAGACTGGCCGGCGGAGGCTCCACTGGGTACCAGGAGGGAACGACCCAGTAAAGCCAGGTGGGCGGCGCAGCCAGATCTCCTCGTGCAGGCTGCCCTGCAAGAACGCTGTGCTGAAGTCAAGAGAGTGAAGCTCATAGTCACGCTGAGCGGCAACGTGCAGTAGAACCCGAAGAGTGGTCATCTTCGGGGTGGGGGAGAAGGTCTGGAAGAAGTCAACCCCTTGACGCTGACTGAAGCCTCTAGCAACGTAACGAGCCTTGAAGACAGGTGGAGAACCTGGCGGCCGCTTCACCCTGAAAATCCACATGCCATCGACGATATTCGCCCCAGGAGGGGGAACCTCGTCGACGTAGGTGCCTGTGGATTTCCAGGATGCCATCTCTGCGTCCATGGCTGTCTGCCACTAAGAGGAGTAGGGACCCGAGATCGCCTCTGCGTAAGAGCGCGGAGTGGGGATGTCTAGTGCATCCGGGTCTCCCTCAGGGGCAAGCAACCAGGCCACGAGATGAGGTACAGCAGCCGCAAGAGAGTCAAGGTCCTCCTGCCTGTCCTCAAGGACGTCCGTGCCAAGAGCACACTCACCCCCGATGGACGGAGGACAGACAGACTCAGACTCAGCAACAAGACTAGCGGCATAGTCTAGACGACAGGCAGCAGCAAAGTCGACAAGCTCAGCGACCAGGGCAGACGCAGCAGCAGACTCAAAAGACGGGTCAGTGACAACAGTGGCGAGAAGACGCGTAACAGTAGGGTGGGCAGCACGAACACTGTCAGACTCAGGGTCGGGAACGTCAGGAAGAGAAGACGCAGGAGGAGACGGTAGGGGGACACGCTGTGGACCAGTGGAAGGACGAAGGGCCATAATGTGCGTGCCAGGAACAGGAGGAGGACGCGGACGCGCGACACGACGACCAGTGGGACCAGTGCGCGCAGTGCGAGCAGTGCGAGCAGCGCGAACAGGCGAGGCAGGACGAGACACAGGCTCACGACGCTCCGTAAGCGAGTCCGGCTGTGCAGTGTAAGGCACAGGAGCAGGGAGGGGGGAGCCAGGCTGGAGGGGAAGGCCAGTGGAAGACGGGAGGGAAAGAACCTGGCGAAGCACCGTGTCAGGCGGTGGCAAAGCCGACGGCGACGGTGGAGCGAAGAACAGTCGCGACGGCGGAGCTCCGCCAGCACCTCCAGCACCCGCAGCACCAGAAGCACCAGTACCAGCACCCCCCGCCGCAGCACCCCCAGAGCCGGCGACGTCAGCACCAGAGGCCCCAGCAGCGGCAGACCTCCCCTCGCCAGCACCTCCAGAACCAGCAGGACCAACGCCTCCAAGACCGTCAGCTCCAGTGTCGTCAGCTCCAGCAGCTCCAGCACCTCCAGGAAGAGCACCCCCAGAGCCGGCAGCTCCAACTCCGCTAGTACCGCCAGCTCCAGAGGCCCCAGCTCCAGCAGCTCCAGCCTCAGTGCTCCCAGAACAACCAGCCCCGGCAGCTCCAGTACCCCCAGTACGAGCACCTCCAGGACGAGCAGCTCCAGAACCTCCAACTCCAGCGGGACCACGAGGAAGGCGAAAGCGCTGGACGTACCAGTCAAGAAGCTGCTGCCGTGTAAGAGGCTCCCGGAGAGACGGCTCAGCACCCCGAACCGGAGCACCCCCAGACGCAGCAACCCCAGGCTCCGTGTGCTCAGTCGCAGCACCCCCAGGCTCAGTACCCCCAGGCGCAGCACCCCAAGGCTCAGTGCACCCAGGCCCAGCACTCTTAGTCGCAGCACCCCCAGGCTCAGCACCCCCAGGCTCAGCACCCTCAGTCGCAGCACCCCCAGGCTCAGCACCCCCAGGCTCCGTACGCTCAGGCACCGTACCCTCAGCTCCAGCACCCTCAGTCCCAGCACCCGCAGCCCCAGCACCCCCAGGCTCAGCACTCCCAGCAGCACCACCCGCAGCAGCACCTGAGTCACCTGTGACCTCGACAGGCTCAGCGACGGGAGGAGGGTCTACCTGAGAGACACCTGAAGGAGCAGGACCCTGAGGGGGAAGGGGGTCTACCGGAGGGGGACCAGGAGCAAGGAAAAGCGGCGGGGGAGGGAGGGGGGCAGTGCGGTAGGGGAAGAGACGGTAAAAAGGGACCGACTCGTCAAAGGTGACGTCCTGAGAGGCGAAGACCCGGCGCGAGGTGGGGTGGTAAAACTGCCAGCCAGGCGCGTCAGGGACAAAGCCAAGGAAGACACAGGGAAGCGTGCGGGAGGAGAGCTTGTCCGCGGACGTATCGCGGACAAGGGCACGAGCACCCCACACCCGGAAGCGCGACGCATCGCCAACCTCCCCCGTCCAACGCAGTGCGGGCGAGGTCTCCGGCAAGGAGACACGGGGCCAGAGGTTGAGCTGATGCGCGGCGTACCGGACAGCAAACGGCCACAGAAAATGGGGAGCCGCCGCATGGACCAAGGAGGTACGAGCAACCTCCATGACCAGGCCAATGCGGCGCTCAGCAACCCCATTCTGCTGTGGGGAGTCCAGAAGCGTGAAGGTCTGCTCGATGCCCTCCGCCTGACAGAAGGTCCTCAAGAGGTCGGAGGAGAACTCACCACCTCTGTCAGAGTGCAGACGCAGGACAGGAAGATCTGTCCGGAAACGGCGGCGGAGCTGGAGACGAACTGTGCGGATCCAAGGGATCAGAACAGCAGGGACCTCACCCTTGGTGCGCAAGGGGAAGACCGTGGTGTAACGCGAGTAGTCGTCGACAACCAGCAAAAAGTACCGCTCACCGCCCTGGCCACGAACGCGGGCTGGGCCCCACACGTCCAGGTGGAGGGTCTGCAGAGGAGCCTCTGTCGGGGGGAACGAGGAGGAGTGAGGAGCGGCGCGCTGCCGCCCCTCGACGCAAGGAAGGCAAGGCGGCGCAGGGGAGGCAGGGAGAGGAGGGAGGGACCTGGGAAGACCAGACACAAGGTGGCGACGGTGCATGCCACGAAGGCGTGGCAAGGAGGGGTGACCCAGGCGGTGGTGCCAGAGAAGAGTCTGGTGCGACAGGGAACGACACTCACAGGCGTGGGCTACCAGACCTGACGCGGACACCTGACCGACAGCAGCGACCTGAGGAGACACAGTGGTCAGTGTGTAGAGACTCGACCCCGGCTGACGGGTAAACGTAGCCAGGTGACGGCCGGTCCTGGAGCACGTGAGGATCGCCACACGCTGTCCTCCAGGGGTAAAGGTGTCAACCCACTGATCCTGGATGACAGCGTTGCTCACCAGGTTCGTCGAGAACGAGGGGAGGTG